CTTCGCCAAAGAAGACCTTCAGGCAGCTAACAGACATGTGAAGAAATGCTCCTGATCATTGGCCATTAGAGAAATGCAAATCAAAACTACAATGAGGTACCATCTCACCCCAACAACGCTAGCATTAATCCAAAAAACACAAAATAATAAATGCTGCAGAGGTTGTGGAGAGACTGGAACACTTATACACTGTTGGTGAGAATGTAAAATGGTACAACCACTTTGGAAATCGATTTGGCGCTTCCTTAAAAAGCTAGAAATAGAAGTAGCATATGATCCAGCAATCCCACTCCTTGGAATATATCCTAGAGAAATAAGAGCCATCACACGAATAGATATATGCACACCCATGTTCATTGCAGCACTGTTCACGATACCAAAAAGATGGGAGCAACCTAGGTGCCCATCAGTGGATAAACAAATTATGGTATATTCCTACAATGGGACACTATGCAACGATAAAGAACCACAATGAATCCATGAAACGTAACGTGGAGGAATCTGGAAGGCATGTTGCTGAGCGAATTTAGTCAGTCACAAAAGGACAGATATTGTATAAGAGCACCCTTACAAGAACTCAAGAAAAGGGTTAAACACAGAAGAAAACATTCTTTGATGGTTATGAGGGTGAGGAGGAAGGGAGGGTTATTCAGTAACTTAATAGCAGACAAGAATTATCTTAGGTGAAGGGAAGGACAGCACACACTACAGGGGAAGTCAGCGCAACTGCACTCAACCAAAGCTAAGAAGTTTCCTGACTACAACCAAACACTTCAAGGGACAGAGTAGCAGGGGCAGGGGTCTGGGGACCATGCTTTCAGGGGACATCTAGGTCAATTAGCATAACAAAGTTTATTAGGAAAATGTTCTGCATCCTACCTTGGTGAGTGGCATCTAGGGTCTTAAAACCTAGTGAACGGCCATCGAAGATGCATCAATTGGTCCCAACCTGCCTGGAGTAAAGGAAAATGAAGAACACAAAGTCACAAGGAAAGCATTAGCCCAAGAGACAGAAAGGGCCACATAAACCGGAGACTGCAACAGTCTGAGACCAGAAGAACTAAATGGTGCCCGGATATCACCAATTACCACCCTGACGGGAAACGCAACAGAGAGTCCCTGTTGGAGCAGGAGAAAAGTGGGGTGCAGAACTCAAATTCTAGTGAAAAGACCTGAATTAATGGTCTGACTGAGACTGGAGGAACCCCAGAGAGCATGGACCCCGGACTCTCTGTCAACTCAGCAGTAAAACCATTCCCGAGGCCAACTCTTCAGTCAAAGATTAGACTGGACTGTGGGACATAAAATGATACTCGTGAAGAGAGTGCTTCTTAGCTCAGGTAGATACGTGAGGCTAAATGGGCAGCGCCTCTCTGGAGGTGAGATGAGAAGGCAGAGAGGGTCAGGAGCTGGTTGAATGGACATGGGAAATCGGGTGGAAAGGAGGAGTGTGCTGTCACAGTATAGGGAGAGCAGTTAGGGTCACACAACGATGCTTGTATAAATTTTTGTATGAGAGACTAACTTGAATTGTAAACTTTCACTTAAAATACAATAAAAGAAAATTTAAAAAAAAAAGAAAACTACTGGAACTAATAGCTTGAGCAGAGCAGCAAGATGTAAGATAAACATACAACAATCAGTTGGATTCTTATCCTCCAGTAAAGAGAAGTAGGAAAAGGAAATCAGAAGAGCAATGCCATTTATAATCGCCCCTAAAAAAATAAAATATTTAAGAATAAGTCTAACCAGGTACGTAAAAGACCTGTACAAAGAAAACTACAAAACACTACTGCAAGAAACCAAAAGAGACCTATATAAATGGAAAAACATAGCATGCTCACGGGTAGGTAGACTCAACATTGTGAAAATATCAGTTCTACCCAAAGCAATTTACAAATACAATGCAATCCCCATCCAAATACCAACAGCATTCTTTAATGAGTTGGAAAAACTAATGGTTAACTTTATATGGAAAGGAAAGAAGCCTTGGATAAGTAAAGCGCTATTGAAGAAGAAGAATAAAGTAGGAGGCCTCGCACTACCTGACCTCAGAATGTACTATACAGCTACGGTAGTCAAAACAGCCTGGTACTGGTACAGCAACAGACATATTGACCAATGGAACAGAATTGACAACTCAGATGTAAATCCATCCACCTACAGTCACCTGATATTCGACAAAAGTGCAAAGTCCATAAATGGGGAAAAGACAGACTTTGTAACAAATGATTCTGGCAAAACTGGGTGTGCATCTGTAAAAAAATGAAACAGGACCCGTACCTCACACCATACACAAAAACTAATTCAAAATGGGTCAAAAACTTAAATATGAAACCAAAAACTATAAAGATCACAGAATAAAAAATAGGATCAATGCTAAAGGCCCTAATACATAGCATAAATAGGATACAAACAGTACACGAGCACCAGAAGATAAACTAGGTAACTGAGATCTTCTAAAAATTAAACACTTATGCTCATCAAAAGACGTTGCCAAAAGAGTAAAAATAGAACCTACAGACTGGGGAAAAAATTTTGGCTGTGACAAATCCAACGAAGGTCTAATCTTTAAACTCTACAGGAAAATCCAATACCTCTACAACAAAATGACAAACAGTTCAATTAAAAAATGGACACAGGGTATGAACAGACACTTCACCAAAGAAGACATTCAGGCTGCTAACAAACACATGAAGTAATGCTGGCAATCACAAGCCATTAGAGAACTGCAGATCAAAACTGCAGTGAGATATCATCTCACCCTGACATTACTGGCACAAATCACAAAAACAGAAAATAACAAATGTTGGAGAGGCTGCAGGGAGATTGGAACTCTTATGCACTGCTGGTGAGAATGCAAAGTGGTCTAACCATTTTCAAAAATGGTATGATGCCTTCTTAAAAAGCTAGAAATAGAAATACCATATGATCCAGCAATCCCACTCCTAGAAATATATCCTAGAGAAATAAGAGCTGTCATAAGAATAGACATATGCACACCCATGTTCACTGCAGCTTTGTTCACAATAGCAAAAAAATGGAAACAGCCTGAGTGCCCAACAAGAGATGAATGGATAAACAATGGTACATACACACACGGAATACTACACAACAATAGAGAACAATGATGAATCTGCGAAACATCTCACAACATGGGTGAATCTGGAGGACATTATGCTGAGTGAATTAAGTCAATCACAAAAGGACAAATACTGTATGAGATTACTATTAGAAACACTCATGAAAAGATTTACACACAAAAAGAAACAATTTTTGATGGTCACAAGAGAGAGGAAGAGTGGGGAGGGCAAAACACTAACTAGGCAATAGATAAGTGGTAACTTTGGTGAAGGGTAAGACAGTACACAATACTGGGGAAGTCAGCACAGCGTGACCAAGGCAAAGTCATAGAAGCTTTGTAGACACACCCAAACTCCCTGAGGTACCGAACTACTGGCTGAGGGCTGGGGACCATGGTCTTGGGGGACGTCTAGCACAATTGGCATAACATAGTTTATAAAGAAAATGTTCCACATCCTACTTGGTGAGTTGCGTCTGGGGTCTTAAAAGCTTGCAAGCGGCCACCTAAGATACGGGTACTGGTCCCACCCGGTCTGGAGCAAGAGAGAAAGAAGATCAAAGACACAAGGAAAAGATTAGTCCAAAGGACTAATGGACCACAACTACCACGGCCTCCACCAGACTGAGTCCAGCACAACTAGATGGTACCTGGCTACCACCATGATTGCTCTGACAGGGATCTCAATAGAAGATCCCAGACAGAGCTGGAGAAAAATGTAGAGCAAAATTCAAACTCAGAAAAAAGGACAAGACTTACTGGTCTGACAGAGACTGGAGAGACCCCAAGGGTATGGCCCCCAGGCACCCTTTTAACTCATTGCTGAAGTCACTCCCTTCAGCCAAAGATTAGACAGTCCCATATAACAAACAGTAACACACATAGCTGATCCATGAATACAAGACTAGATGGGCACACCATCCCAGGGGCAAGGGTGAGAAGGCAGGAGGGGACAGGAAATCTGGATGAACAGAGATGGAGACCCCAAAGTTGAGAAGGGGAGAGTGTTGACATGTTACAGGGTTGGCAGCCGATGTCACAGAACAATATGTGTATTAATTATTTAATGAGAAACTAATTTGCTCCGTAAACCTTCATCTAAAGCACAATTTAAAAAAAAAAAAGAAGTCAGACGACTTATTGTATTGGGCAGATCTGGTGCAAAAGTTCTCCTTAAGGTTTTAAAAAGTAAAGATGTCACTTTGATAACTAAGGTACACCTGACCCAAGCCTTTGTATTTTCAGTCATCTCGTATGCATGTGAAACCTGGACAATGAAAAAGGAAGACCAAAGAAGAATCGATGCATTTGAACTGTGGTCTTGGTGAAAAATATTGAATATACTGTGCACTGCCAGAAAACGAACAAACCTATCTTAGAAGTACAACCAGAATCTTCCTTAGAAGCAAGGATGGCGAGACTTCCCGCCTCTCTGAATAGGTCACACTCCTCTCCCATGGAATCATAGCAGACTGTCCTCCTTTGTAGTTACTTTACATCTTGGGAATAATCATTTGATTAATATCCATTCCCTAATGACTGGGACTCTAGGAGTGCAGGAACCATGTCTCTTTTTCTTACTGGCACATGATAGTCGCTCAGTAAATGTCTCCTGGCAAGCTGACTGATTTCCTGATTGACTGAATGTGCCCCAAGAGAGATACAAACAAAATGCTATGAAGAGTCCAAAAGGAGAGGGAGTTTTTGAAATGAGCTTTTGAAGAGATGGCAATGTGCTGTCTAGATGCTAGTTTGATGGATGATTATGATTATTATCATTAATCAGCTTAGGTGATCTTGGTGTTTGTTATAACAAAGAAATTACTGGGTTTTATTTGTTACCTCTTATTAGCATTTTTTCAGGAAATTCTTATCTGATTGACCTGATCATAGGAAGTAATCCATTCTCTTTTGGCAGCCCAAGCACGAACCCCTCACCATCTTCTGTGACCTCATGGGTGTGGACTACGAGGAAATGTGTCACTGGCTCTGCCATCGGAAGCTGGCTACTGCCACAGAGACGTACATCAAGCCCATCTCCAAGCTGCAGGCCACAAATGCCCGTGATGCTTTGGCCAAGCACATCTATGCCAAGCTCTTTACCTGGATAGTAGATCATGTCAACCAGGCTCTCCACTCAGCTATCAAACAGCATTCTTTTATTGGTGTGCTGGACATTTATGGGTGAGGATATTTGGCTAATAAACCAAAGAGAGCATTTGTTTCTAGAAATTATATGGTAACTCTAAGTGGGTATTGGATTTTATCTCCTATTGGTGAGGAGAAGGAAAACCCTGCCTATGGCAATTTCAGAGTACCTTGATGCTGGTGATGTAATTATATGTTGTTTCAAATTTAACTAAAACTCAGGGCTAATTTAGTAAGCTAGTGGGTGGAATTGATTGGTTTTCAGACTCATGGTAAGTTATCACTGAGTTTCTAAAAACTGAATTTTATTTGCTACTTGGCTTTCCTTGAGTACCCTTCTCTAACTTTTAAAATCCTTTCTGTACATTTGTCCATTTCTGATGCCTAATGTTTCATTTTCTGGTTGAAGTTTTCAAAAAAACACCAGTGATATCTCTACTCTTATTTTCGTTCTCTGTATGTGTAGAAGTATGCTTTTATTATAATTCTGTTTGCTCCCCACTTGGGTATGAGTGAACCCTCAGAAATTCGTAGTGTTGAATGCCTCTACATCCTGGAGCCTTAAAACAAATCTCCCTGCAGCTTGGCTGGTGCTCACCTGTTAGGTATACATTCCATGTTGTTGTTGTTAGGTGCCGTTGAGTTGGTTCCAGCTCATAGTAATGTTACGTACAACAGAACGAAACACTGCACAGTCGTGCGCCATCCTCACAATCATTCCTATGCTTCAGCCCATTGTTGCAGCCACTGTGTCAGTTCATCTCATTGAGGGTCTTCCTTTTTTTTGCTGACCCTCTACTTTACCAAGCATGATGTCCTTCTCCAGAGACTGATCCCCCCTGATAACATGTCCAAAGTATGTGAGACAAAGTCTCACCATCCTCGCTTCTAAGGAGCATTCTGGCTGTACTTTTTCCAAGACAGATTTATTTGTTCTTCTGGCAGTCCATGGTATATTCAATATTCTTTGCCAACACCATAATTCAAAGGCATCAATAATTTTTCAGTCTTACTCATTATCCAGCTGTAGCATGCATATGAGGCAATTGAAAACACCATGGCTTGAGTCAGGCCCACCTTAGTCCTCAAAGTGACATCTTTGCTTTTTAACACTTCAAAGAGGTCTTTTGCTGCAGATTTGTCCAACGCAATATGTCATTTGATTTCTTGACTGCTGCTTCCATGGGTGTTGATTGTGGATCCCAGTAAAATGAAATCCTTGACAACTTCAGTATTTTCTCCGTTTATCATGATGTTGCTTATTCCATGTTACTGACTTACAAACTTTTGTCTTTACTGAGGTGGAAAGAAAGTTTCACAATGTTGGTGAATTTCCCATTTCTTTCCTTTTAAAGTGTGCATTTTGAATATTTTTAAACAGCTATTTTTTTTTCTCCTCATATTGTTTTTGGTTTTACAGATTTGAAACATTTGAGATAAATAGTTTTGAACAGTTTTGTATAAATTATGCAAATGAAAAACTACAGCAACAATTCAATATGGTAAGAATTTTTGTCCTTGAATAATATTCTTCTATAAATTACCTTCTTGAAATCCTAGTCTGTGTTTAAAGCCTGGTTCTTGAAATGAAATCTTGAGTTATAATTGTTATATGGGGTTTAGAGCAGCTAAACTGCTGAAGAAGTGATGATTAATAAATAATACAATGTTAGAAGAAATGTTTTATGGTTCGGGTGGAATTCAAGATGATCCTTAGATTGCTGTCTGAGAATAATGAAAATTTTGTTCAAAATAAATTGAGGGAAGCAGGAAGTGTGTTAGGTAGTAGCTAAGGGAGTATGTAGCTTTGAACCCAGGAACATCCTTTGATTTGTTGTACCTGGAACTAATTATGTGTGCAGTTGTGACTTTCTTAACTCTTACTTGCTTTATTAGCAAGATGTCAGAATTGAAAATAAAAAGTTTAGATATTCTCTTTTCAACAGTCGGAGACATTCACTGAGCCAGTGGCAGTGGGAGTATTTTGTGAGTGGCTCTGGTTTAATTCTCTTGTGAAATAGTAATGTCGGATATCTTGGAGGATTACTGTGGTGTTGGGGGACTTGGAGGTACTTAAAATGAGTGACAACAGGGTGTAGCAATGAAGAGTACATACCCTGGAAGTGAACTGCTTGGGTTGGAATCCTGTGCTGCATTGACTACCCCGGGGACCTTGGGCAAATTAAGTGACTTCCCTGGGCTTTAGTTTCCTCATCCGTAAAATGGGGATGATAGTAGTATCTACTGCATATGGTTGTTTAGATTAAATGAATTGGGATATGTAACATGCTCACCACATGCCAGACACACATCTAAACACAAGCTCAAGGTAGTTATTAGTATTGATGAAAGGTAGAAGAGAGCTAGCTGCTAAAGGGAGGAAAAGATCCCTTAATGTCCTCATCTTATGAAGAGAACAGTCAAGTGGTATGGTCTGTAGTTGATAGAATAAAAAAACTATAAGTCTAAAAATATTATTTTAAGTTACAAAAGTAAAATAAAAAAGACTCAAGAGCATCTAAAATTAGTAATTTGAGAGGATGACGAGGGGCAGTGGAGAGGTGGTATGTATGAGTTTAACCTCATCTACCTTAGCAGGAAATCAGTAGATACGATTTCAAAATGATAAATCAAAAAATAGCTGATAAGCATATTCTTTAGAAACATATAGGTAAATATGAGAAGAAATAGCTAAAACAAATGTAAAATGGTTTCCTGTATTGAGCAGGATTTGGGTTAGGGAAGGATGGAACAAGGGATTGTTGCTCATCATTATAAAACCTTTTAGACTGTTTGATTTTTTTTTTTTTTACTCTTTTGGTGAAGTCTTTTGATGAGCATAAGTGTTTGATTTTTAGGAGCTCCAGTCATCTAGATTCTCTTCTGGTGTTTGTGCATTGTTACTTATGGTTCATATTCTCTTTATGCCATGTATTAGGGCTCCTGGCATTGTCCCTATTTTTTCTCCCATGATCTTTATAGTTTTAGATTTTATATTTAGGTCTTTGATCCATTTTGAGTTAGTTTTTGTGCATGGTGTGAGTTATGGGTCTTGTTTCAGTTTTTTGCAGATGGATATCCAGTTATGCCAGTACCATTTGTTAAAGAGACTGTCTTTTCCCCCAGTTAACGGACTTTGGGCCTTTGTCAAGTATTAACTGCTCATAGGTGGATGAATTTGTCTGGATTCTCAATTCTGTCCCATTGGTCTATGTATCTGTTGTTGTACCAGTCAGTACCAGGCTGTTTTGACTACCGTGGCGGTATAATAGGTTCTAAAATCAGGTAGAGTGAGGCCTCCCACTTTGTTCTTTTTCTCGAGTAATGCTTTACTTATCCAGGGCCTCTTCCCTTTCCATATGAAGTTAGTGATTTGTTTCTCCATCTCATTAAAAAATGCCATTGGAATTTTGATCGGGTTTGCATTATGTCTGTAGATCGCTTTGGGTAGAATTGACATTTTCACAATGTTGAATCTTCCTATCCATGAGCAAGACATGTTTTTCCACTTATGCAGGTCTCTTTTGGTTTCTTGCAGTAGTGTCTTCTAGTTTTCATTGTATAGGTATTTTACGTCTCTGGGTAGATTTATTCCTAAGTATTTTACCATCGTGGGTGCTATTGTAAATGGTTGTTTGATGTTTTTAGAACATGCATTTCTTACTTTGATAAAACTTTGAACCATCTATATTTAGGAAATTAAACTGCTTAGCACAGTGGGATAATAGAAGGGTGATCTTGAAACGTTAGGCATATGACTGTTTCCATAATAATGTGATGGGTATATGTTTTCATCTCTGCTTAGGAACATTAATAAGAACCCATAAGTCAGAGACCGAATTGAGCATTATCATCTCACATGATTTTAATGAGTTTCTCAAGTCTTTAATCAGTGCCACAGCCTTCAGCTCTTACCCAGTATATTTTGGTACAAGATGGCCAGAAGTACAAGAAATCTCTTTCTCAGGGACTTCGTGTCTCTGCATCTGTTTCTGTCTCTTTTCTTGTTTCTCTTTCCGTCTTTCTGTCTCTATCCATCTGTTTTCTGTCACACACGCCCACGTACATGCACACGCAGACTTATATTGTATGTTCCCACTGTTATAAAAAATCAAGAATAGATATACACCACAGAAAGCAAAGGTCTTTAATGGTTATCAGGGATGGGAGGGAATCACTTTCTAGATAGTAGACACTTGATCCTTTTGGTGATGGGAAAGACAAGACCATCTATGGGTGGAGTCAGCACAACTTGACCAAGGTAAATAAAAACACTAAGAAGTCCATGAGAAAAAGGGACAGTTTTGGTAAATGCTATAATGTATACAATTTTGCAGCAACAGTAAAAACAACCAAAAAATATGTGTGTGGTTATGTGGGTAGATATGGATGCATATATGTGTATAGGAAGGCATGTGCAAGTAAGCGCACATGCATGTATAGGTGTATCTGTAGGCGTATGTATATATACTTGTGTGTGTGTGTGCATATATACCACATAGGGAGCACAATTACAGAGGCTTGGTTTACTAGGTTTCAAGGCTTGGAACCATAGTCTCGGGGGACAACTTAGTCAATTGACATAGTTCACAAAGATAATGTTCTACATCCTAGATCAGTGAGTAGCATCTGGGGTCTTAAAAGCTTGTGGGAGCCGTCTAAGATACAACTATTGGTCTCTACTCGTATGCAGCAAAAGAGAATGAAGGAAATCAAAAGCGCAAAGAAGAAACTAGTCTACAGGACTCATAGCCCACATGAACCACAGCCTCCTGTAACCTGAAAGCAGAACTAGATGGTGCCCGACTACCACTACCGACAATTCTGACCAGGGACACAGTAGAAGGTCCCGGATAGAATGGGAGAAAAATGTAGAACCAACCTCAAATTCTTTAAAAAAAAAAAAAAGCCAGACCAATTAGACTGATAGAGACTAGAGGAGTCCCCAAGGCTATGGCCCTAAAATAACTTTGAACTTGGATTCGAAGTTATTTCTGTAGGTCACCTTTCAGCCAAACAATAGATTGGCTTATAAAATAAACAACACCCGTAAGTAATGTGCTCCTTTAAACAATTAACTACATGAGACCAAACGGTCAACAGTTACCCAAAAGCAAAAATGAGACGGCAAGGAGGGGAAGGGAAACTAGATCAATGGAAACAGAACAAACAGAATGGAAATAATGAGAATGCTGACACATTGTAAAAATTATAACCAATGGCACAGAACAATTTGTATAAAAATTATTAAATGGAAACCTAATTTGCTAATACACAATAAAATAACGACAACAACATAAAAGAGAAACCAAAGCTACCTCGGGGGCCGGATAGTTTAGTTTGTCTCTTTCTTGGGGGCCTCATGTCTCTGCATCTGTTTCTGTCTCTGTTCTTGTTTCTCTTTCCCTGTTTCTGTCCATCTGTTTTTCTGTCACACACATGTACATGCATGCTTGGACACACACACCAACTGCATCTTAGCTTCTCTGTGCACAACTGCTCCACTCCCTCTTGCTATCAAATGGCATATTCTTTCCTTCTACTCTGTATGTATTTCTCTGCATCAAGATTTCTGCTTCCTCAAAGTGTCTGCCGCCTCATTCACTTCAGACTCCTGTGAGCAGAGCAGTGGTTGAAAAGGTCCTCCATTCTCCTGACTTGCTTAGCTTGCGTTCATCTTTGCTTCTTTCAGTTTCAGTTTTCACTACTGTTGTCTGATTCTTTCCTTGTTTCTCAATTCAGATACCTGAGAAAGATAATTCGATTAACCCAGTTCATTTTTTCAATAGTGTGCCCTGGGGTACCCACACTTGGTTCAGTCAGCTGTGACTGGGAACATGGGGTCTCAGAGTAAAGATATGGCTGCATAGGGCTGTTCCCTCAGCCAGGGCTGTAGGTGGGGGCTGTGGTCATAATAAACACTGTAATTGGCATGTTTATGCTTGGAGGCATTATTGTATTGACCAAGGATCTCTTGCCTTATTGAACCTCACGCCCACATTCACTCTTTGACAACTGAGCATCCAAAATTTTTGTAGCCTCATGGTTTTTTCCAAGCTATCCATAGAGATGTGGCTGAGAAAGCTGTGCTTCTCTTGTCAATGTGGAGACCGCATATAAAATAAATTAATAAAATGAAAAAGTACAGAGCTTGTTGTTTTAGAAAATATTGGTACCATCAGTCAGAGCATCCTGCTGACACATGGCATCCTATTTGCCTTCTTATTAATCAAAAGAACAGAAGAAATTTGTTTTCGAGTTAGCATGACATAAATATTCATATGGATGAACCGCTTTTTTATTAAAGCTTATTGCAGCTGGTTAGATTGTAAACACTGCAAATGAACCAAGAGTGGCATTACAATAAGTATAGAAAGAAGTGGTAAAGGTTCAGGTGCATGAGAAGATGTATGTATCCAAAATCTCCCAGACCAAAGTTTCATGGTATTTTGGATCCTGGAAAATGTATGTGTTCTGGTCATAGTGACAGAAGACTAGCCTTGCCAGAAAAATAGCAACACGTGGGAGAAACAAAGGAGAGAAAAGAGACAAGCTAAGGAAAGGAGAAATCCCTGAAAAAAGAATAGTGGTCATTAGCATCTGTAGAAACCAGAAGTGGTGTCAGCAGCATTGGCTGGGGCAGCTTGAAGCAGGAGCTGCAGCAGCGGTTGGAATGCCCTTTCCTCCTTGAAGTGCTTAGCTCTTCTTCATCTTCTGAGCTTGGGTCACACTGTCTGTCTTGAGGGAAGCCTTTCCTCATCACCCCTTCTCCAAACTAGATCTGGACTCTTGCTGTATGCCCTCATGGCACTCATATTTTCCTTTGTTAACATTATTGTGGTTTGTAATTACACTCCTTGTGACTATTTGATTTCTGTCTGTCTCTCCCACTGGTCTGTAAACTCCATGAGGGCAGAGTCCATGTCTGTGCTGTTGACCGCGCACAGTGACCAGCACAGAGTAGACAGCCAATCCGTGTTTTTGCCTGCATGAGTGATGGAGAGTAGAAGCAGTTGTGATGACGAGGACTGAAGCACTTAGCAAAAATAGCAGTGGATTGATAGTGGTTGCAGCTGCTCACAGAATTGGAAGGTTAGCTGTAGATTCCCTGACTGGAGAATAATCAAAGCACAAATAAAAGACTGTCACCTAATTCTGAGACACTTGAACTTCAGCACCACAGTCCGTTAAGAGAATTACTTTGTTGTGCTGAGAGTGTGGCCCAGCACAGTTCAGCTGCGTGGAGGGTGTCCACTCTTCATAGCTCTCAAGGCCAGCCAGGACGTTCCTGTGTGCCGTGTTGTTAGCGGCACTGTGCAATAATTTAAGAAGCCAAAAAGTACACAGTACGTTTTTGGCAATATACATATCACAAAGACCTGCTACATTTACCAGCAATTTAAAACATTCACTTCCCTAGATTTACTTGTTCACCAAGAATCCTGTATAGCTGAAGCTTTACTGTCTATAGTTTTTGTCTACTTAGTTTGTTCTCTGTGTAAATCATGTTTCTCCCACAAGATTGTTGTTGCTAGAAGGCATAGATTGTCTCAAATTACTTGGCATCCTCTTAGAGTGTTTTATATGAATGTTCTTAACTAACATTTTTTTATGATAAGGATCCAAAAATGCCTGATTTTTTTCTTTTTCATTTCAGCATGTCTTCAAATTAGAACAAGAGGAATATATGAAGGAACAAATTCCATGGACACTCATAGATTTTTATGATAATCAGCCTTGTATAAATCTGATTGAATCTAAAATGGGCATTCTGGATTTGCTGGATGAGGAATGCAAGGTACATGTGATTTTCTGGGGTACTTAGCCTATCAAATTATATACATCAAGGTCAGAAGAGAAGTGGGTTTAAGCAGTGATTCACTTATAAACCATGAAGTTCCATTGGGGCAGTAAGTGGGGACCACACTAACTTGTGTTCTGAAGGGCCACTAGATCCCTAGGATTCTAATTACAAATGAAACTAGGAGAATTTTCCTTTTCTTCCTAGCTAATTCTAAGTTACATGAAAAATTTGCATTAGATACAAATACTGTCAATTTTGGTTACTTTTGTGGCTTTTTTTTTTAAATCACTTTTGTTATCAGCATGCTTCTATTTAGCACTTTTTCTTCAACGATAGAATATATTTAAAGAAATTATGCAAAAGATATTTTGAACAGTAGTTCTAAATACCTATAGTTTTTAAATTGGTCAGTTCTTCTTTATTACTGCTATATAAGGAGGCATGGAGTTTTAGCTTTAGCATTTGAAGATGCAGCACATTGGAAAAAATATTCCATCTCCAGCTTTACCACTGAGTAATTGAGAGATCTTAGGCAAATAATCTGTCTTTTCTCTTCATTTCTGTTTAGCTTATAGTAAGTTACAGCTTACCACAGGTTTATTCTCCTAAGCATCCAGATGTCCTACCACATTAAGGATGCATAGAATGAAAAGGTGCTCAGCCTCACTCAAGATTAAAAAAATGCCCATCAAACAAAAATGGGATACCACTTTTTACCTATCAGATTGGCAAGTTTAAATTTGATAATGCTTTTATGAATATTGCACATATACTCTTGATGTGCATGACTCAGTACAACATATTTTAGAGGTAACTTGACAATATTTATCAAAATTGTAAATACATATACAGTTTGACCCAGCAGTTCCACCCTGTGAACAGACTTGTGAAAGTATCTAAGGTATATACATATAAGTCACTGTTGAGTTTTTATAATAACGAAAACCAGAAACAACCTAGTGTCCATAAATAAGAGAATGCCATTATTAAAAAGAAGAAAAAAATGCAAGGAATATATAGAATGACCCCATTAATGTACAAGCTTTTAAAGATAGGAAGAGATGATCAGGTTAGGAGAAATGGCTAAGGAGACTACTTTCCAGTTTATATGTTTCTGAATTGCATAAATATTTCATATGTGCCAATATTACTTTTATTTAACAAATTAAAAAAATACATGCTAGCTGTGATATTTCGTCTGTTGTGGTTTTAAAAGCAAGTCAAATACTTATTTGATGATGCCTGGTATAGGCAGAGAAGGAGCCCTAGTGGTGCAGTGGTTAAGCCCTTGGCTGGTAACCAAAAGGTCAGCGATTCAACTACCAGCCGCTCTGCAAGAGGAGGATGTGGCAGTCTGCTTCCCTAAAGATTTAGAGCCTTGGAAATCCCATGGGGCAGTTCTGTGCTGTCCTATAGGGTCGCTGTGAGTGGGAATCGACTACAGGGCAGAACATTACAAAGTTTGGGCTGGTTCACCCATGGTAAGGTCTCTGTCATGCTTGCCATTAATAACTGGTTTTTGGCCTCTAAAAGAGAAATGACAAAGGAGTGAGAGTACTTAAACTGAATATAAAAACTGTTAGATAAAGCCAAAAAATGGTCTCTTGGTGCCCGATGCATCAGAGAGTCTCATAATATTTGCCTTGTTTTCTTTCTTCTTTCTTTTTTCCCCTGAATGTAGATGCCTAAAGGTACAGATGACACTTGGGCCCAAAAATTGTACAACACACATTTGAACAAATGTGCGCTCTTTGAAAAGCCCCGTCTATCAAATAAAGCTTTCATCGTCCAACATTTTGCTGACAAAGTAAGGAAGCTTTATTATCTTTTTCCTTTTAGAATACTTAAGTTAAATGAAGAGAAAAAAAATCAATAGTCAAGAGGTGTCATTTTTTTCTTTGCTGATGCTGCATTCTTTAGGGCCTTATAGAAAAGCAGTCTTTAGTGTTGGCTTGTTGGTTTCCTCTTCCTTCAACTTAAATTGAATTATGTTATGAAATAAATGTGAGTCTATAATCCTCTATTATTCTAAAATCTAGAAAGCTCTGCAAACCAAGTCTTTTTATAACCGTTTTGTGGCTAGCCCTGATCTCTGACTTGAACTAACATGAGGTTACTTGTAGCCTTTATTTATCCCACTTAAGGTATTTCTATACATTTCAGTGTAGAAATACAAACGATTTGATTACAGATTGCTGCCTGAGGCTCTGCTAGAGGTATTACAAAATGGTACATGTACATACTGCATCTCTAAACTGAAAAACTCTTAATTCTAAAGCCTGTTTGACCCTAAGAGGTTCAGAGTAGAGATTGTGCACTTGTGTTACATCCCTCCTGACAAGGCACGCAGACTTGCTGCTTCACAAGCTCTCTAGGCTCCTTAGCAAATCAGAAACCGCACAACTAATTTATACGGTAGACCTTGGGGTATGCTCCCAAGGTCCCCTTCAGGGTTTTAGTGCTTTCCAAGTCTGCTTTAACCCTGGCTGGAAACCTTGAATGACGAGGGCTGTGGGGTACAGGCTGTGGAGCCCTTGAGTGGCAAATGGCTGAAGCTGCTGGAATTTTGGCAGCAAGAATAGGATAAACCATTCTTCAGTAGTCCGAGTTTACCATCATACACTATTTCCCCAACCCCTACCACTATGCATCACCAGCTTTTCAATGTTCTCCCTATCTGTTCCTCCTGATCGTCTCTCCTGCTTCATCTCTTCTCTCCCAAGCGAGGGCTTACCCCTGCCATATGGTGAGCTGGGATAGAAGGAGAGGCATTGGGTCACCCTTGGAGGCACTCTCTTTGGCCAGCATGGGGAGGAGAGGGTCAACTTCTTAGAAGCCTCCTTAGCCAAGAATTGGGAAAATCTTTTGGACCACAGTTAGTCAGCACTCCCACTGTTCCTTAGGAAAAACAACATTTGGGAGCTTTTACTGTAGAGTTACCGTATATTCTTACTATTAAAAACTGTATTGGTTTCTTAGAATAAAACTGATGATACCACTTGGTTGAGATCTGTATAGATATAGCCTGAGTCTATGTTTTTTGTTTACAGTAATAATATCTATTCAGAAGTTTTTTTTAGTTAAGGAGATTTTTCCATGTTTTTAGGTGGAATACCAGTGTGAAGGCTTTCTTGAAAAGAATAAAGACACCGTTTTTGAAGAACAAATTAAAGTTCTTAAATCAAGCAAGGTAAATATGGATAAGCTTTTTCCAATTGGGACGTATTTGATAACATGGTAATTACTTAAAAATAGCTTTTAAGCAAAGTGATTTTTTCTAACAAAGTCAGTTTTATTTTTAGTTTTTATTATTATTATTATTACTAATTATTAATTATTCCTAGGAGTGGGATTGCTGGATCATATGGTATTTCTATTTCTAGCTTTCTAAGGAAGCACCATATCATTTTCCAAAACAGTTATATCATTTTGCATTCCCACCAGCAGTGCATAAGAGTTCCAATCTCCCTGCAGCCTCTTCAACATTTGTTATTTCCAGTGTTTTTGATTCATGCCAGTAATGCTGGGGTGAGATGGTATCTCATCGTGGTTTTAATTTGCATTTCTCTGATAGCTAGTGATCCCGAGCATTTCCTCATGTGTCTGTTGGCCGCTTGAATGTCTTCTTTGGTGAAGTGTCTGTTCATTTCCT